CTTTTTAGGTGTGCACTCGATAAAACGTCCTTAATAAACAGAGATATTAAAATACAAAATAGGACAGAAGACTCTATTATGGGCATTTAAACTGTGACCCTGACACTTTATAGTTCTTATCAAAAAAACTAAAAAAAAAAAAAATAAAATAAAATAAAATCCAAGTTAAAGTGGTATGCAAATTGAGACATTCAAATCTCTTGCTCATACACCTACAGTATTTCAAAAAATGATTTTGGGGAAAACAGCGAGTGGCAATTGTTGAAGGAAGATTGCACGACTGAAAGGAACTATGGTTAGACTGTTTTGACAAACAAAATTGCACTTACTTGCATAGAAATGGAGCCACAGACTATTTTACAGTATAAATCACTTGTTATTTCTATCAATAGTAAAACCCATGGCTGCTTTCAGTCGTCCAATCACCTTTCGGCAATTGACATATGCCATTTTATCAGCTGACAGCCTTTTTTGAAATAGGAATATATATAAAATTCTGTTGTGGCAATAATTTCTATTGTGTTTACCTAATGAATTATTAATAATCTGATGTTTTTATATGGTGTATAATATAATTCATATGACATTTGTAGTACTTTTTGGAAATAAATTCGTATTTGACAACAGGCAACAGTCCAACTGTCAGGTACAAGTTGTCAGGCCCATGTTGCTCTTTATGCAAACTACTGACACAACAACATACCATCTATATCTTGAATGTTTAACTTGCCAGACACAATCAAGTAATATAATAATGGAGGGGTTCATTGATTGATTGATCACGAAAACTTCTCTCATTAATTTGTGTTTCACAAAATAAGAAGATTCTAGCCAAGCCAAAATAGGCTGCCACAGAGCCTCACAACAAAAATGAGGTCAAAACTATTACAAATCACTGACGTTTAACTAATACTGTTTYGAGAGATAAATTGGTGACAGCTGCTATTATATCAAGTATGRCGAAAAAACTTGCATTTGATTCATTCGATAAATTAAAGAAATATTTTACATCATTCTCATTTTTTAGTTTTATATCATATAAGGTAGTTCTTAAGCCTGTTTGGTAAACAAAGCTTTTAAAATATTTGAACAGTATAACATCTGAATGTCTTCCTTTTCAGAAATAATGTAGGCATTTTTAACGAGCCACATTTGACCTGAATACTTGTGAATATATCAAACTGAACTTTTTAAGCTTGGTACCCGGTTAAAACGTTGGATGAAAACTCAGGCTACACACTTTTGGATTTTCGTAAACTTCTGATCGAGTATTTTGGAAACCCAAATGAGACTTCCTAAAGAACTTAATTAACGCTTATAAGCTGACATTGGACAATTTGAAATTACAAAGGAAACAAAGAAATGGTGTTTATTCTATCGAACACTTCGGGGTTTGTCTTATATCGAACCTAGCACTGAAATCTCAATCGAACTAATTGCCAACGACAAGGTAGCCTGACAGCCCGAAAAAGAAATTTAAAATTGTTAGACATTAACCGATGTTTGAATATATTGTGTGAAAGGCATAGTCATTTTTAAAGACTTTTTCTGAGACTACAAAGTCCCTTGAGAAATGTGTACATTTGCGAAGCACAATTAAAGAAAGAATCACATTTCATAACAAATACCGTAAACAACATTAACTCCTCGCGAGCAGCGAGGATGCAATCACATGCCTTTTACCTGAAATATCGGCTGCATCAAGTCTAGGAGTATAGACGTCTAGTGTATGAGGATCGAGATGGACTCCTGTTCTTGATCCCTGGGTACACAATAAAGTAAAAACAACATGAACGAGTAATTTGAACANGAAAATATGCTAATTTCTCATGCATCCATCACTTAGTACATATTTCTATGAAAGCCATCCCGATGACTGGTAGCAAGAGCTCACTATGGGCTGCCCTTTAGCCTTTTGACTGTAAAACATACTGAATCATGGAGGAGCCACAATTCGTTCTGCATTTTAGCCTTGATCACTTTCCACTAAATGTGCCACAAAAAACTTTATTGTCCTGTTCATATTATCTTCTTCCTTTTCGTCATAATAGTCATTATCAAAGCACACTTCACAATCATTATTTAGAATCCATTGCATCTTCTACTTTTCTGAAGTCTCAAATGATTGTGTCATGATGCACTGTTTTTCCTTATCATGTTCAACAATACAGTCGAACTTCTATTAAGAGGCCCTCTATTAAGCGGTCACCTTCCATTAAGCGGTCACTCATGAGTTCCTCATAACTCGATTCTCATGTACATTTACTGTAAAACATGACCTCTATTAAAAAATCAACTATTAAACTGTCACCTGTTCTTTCCTGAAGGTGGTGGGAACTTGCGGTAAACTAGTGTGAGCTGCGTCGGTGTTTCTAAAGAAACAGTTGTGTAAAGAAGATAAGTTTAACACBRTAAAAAARTATGGGAAATAACTTACTGACGTTTCGGATGTTATAATCCTTCGACTTCCTGAAGGTGACTGCTTATAATAGAGGTTTGAGTGTGATGACAATTAGGAAGRTGATTACAATGATGACAGTAACAATTATAAATTCATGCTTTATTATTGTAAGGTTAATGCCTTTTTTTCTTACTAGTGTTTTGTGGCATTGTTAAATAAAGTTTCGTAACTTTCATCAATTATTTGTATCTATTTTATTATGCTTGTCAGTTGTGAATTACAGGGTATTCTGATTTATAGAAGACCTACTTGATCGCTCTACTCACAGCAATCAACTCTCCATTGATCTACTTATAGCAATCAACTYTCCAAGATTAATTAAAAATGTATTCACTTGGTAAGGTTTTAAACAGTGAAACCAATTACTGACAATATCCATTTTATTACTCCAATAAGAATATTGAAAATTATTATAATAAATATCAAAATATAATGTACAAAAATACGTTAGTAGTAACGGAATGCAGAATGATGTTTTTTTTCCATCTTGATCTTCCATTCATCTCAATAAAAATAAACTCTTATATTTACAAGTAAATTATATAAAAACTACCAAAAACTGTGCTTTCGTATCAGCACTGCGTAAATGATTACACTTAATCCACGAATTTGTACACAAATAAAATCAAAATTATTTCTAATAAATTCTGCAACTGAAGCAGAACTTCAAAGAATGCAGCAATTCAACTAAAAAAGATGATTATGTCTGGGGCCATTCCATTGCTGAGGCTTTCTAAAGGAGGTAATTTTCAGATAACAACCTGCATCATTCAAAAATTATTGCTATGGCAGCAACTAAATATAATTGTAACATTTATCTCCAGCCTGGTTGGAAAGTGAACATTTGAACCCCCTTGGAAAGTCTCACAGCCTGTGTACAGGTTCTCTTGGGAGTAAATGGGAGGAGAAACAGGACAAAAAGACCTTTTCTCATTCTCCTGTGGAAGCTCCCTAAATTTGAAATCCAGGTACAAGGCAGTGCCATAACCTTGGCTGCATTAATGCCTTGATCACAAGTGATCAAACAATCATAATTAGAAAATTCCCCTTGACCTATGACTTGATGAAGTGATAAATGGAAGAGATGAATCGAGACATTTGTGTGAC